AACCACCACTAAATCAGATCTTTGTGTGCTTGATATCCCACCCCACACCAGGACACTGTTTCCACCGAATCTGTCGACCTGTCACATGCAATTAGGGGCAAAACGTTCATTTCTCCAACGGTACACACACTGTCTTCCATCTCGCCGGTAAGGAAGAATTCGTGTTTCATCACTGAACCAAACTCGCGTCAAGTTTCTAAGGTTCCAGTTCCGGACTCTACGACACCACTGCAATCGATTGCGCCGATGGAAGTCTCTCAAAACAGGGGCGACAACTGGTCTTTTTGGTTGAATCCCCACTCCACGCAATCGATTCCTGACAGTTTTGTCGGAAATTCTTCTCAAACTAGGGATGCATTGTGCAGTCTCCACGGCTGTGGCAAGATGAGTACGCAAGTCAGCAACCCGGATGTTGCGGTCCTGGGCTTGGGTGGTAATTCTTAGGCGGCCGCTTCTCGTCAATCTTGGGCGGAATTGGTCTGCAGGAAACGATCCCAGAGGCGATATATGGTGCTCTGATGAACGATGAAATGTCGGGCAACTGCAGACTCCGACTCCCCAGCTTCCAGGCGGCCTTTGGCAATGTTTTGATCGGCGGCACTGAGTTATGGATTGATTATTTCGTCTTTTCCAGGCAAAAACAAATGACAACAGCGCTTGCCTTTTTAACGTGATTGATACCGCATTGTTTTTCACTTACTTGCACGTGCATTTTGCTTTGCATATTTTCTTGGTGACGTTTTGGGCGAATTTTTCTTCAAACGCTTTTAAAACAAGGGAAAAAGTTAAAATTGCCGCGTTTTGTCACTGTTTACAATCACACAAAGATGACGTCTTGGAAAAAAAATGATATATTTGTTTTGTTTTTGAAGCAGCTACATAAGTCCAATATTCTCAAAATCACATTTGCATTTCGTTTTGTAAAGAGTGTATATATTCATTAGTCTGACATTTACAATTGTATGGGGGCGGTGGGGTAGCCTCGTTATCGTTTGTAGATTGGTAGGTTAGTTTCAGACTTTTAAAACTTTTGTGAGATTCACCTATGGTCTCTCCAGTTGCCATTTGATGAGAGGAAAATCGGTGGAAAGGAGACATATTTTCGAGCTCAATGATAGCAGAAGAAATGAAACGTGTATTTCTTCTTCCAAGAGGCACAATAAGAGAAGATGTATTATTGTGCAGATCCACATGAAGAGGATTAAAAACACAATTGTATGTTGGGTTGGACTCATTAGAATACTTATACTGTTGTGATATATACTAAGAGAAACAAATAAAGGAACACAGGAAAATTCAAGTGTTCCTTTGATATTTTCCAGTTTTCACCACCAGCTTTGAATAGCGCTGTGTGTGTGTGTGTGTGTGTGTGTGTGTGTGGATCTTTAAACAAATAAAGGAACAATACCAGGAAGTGGTGTTCCCTTATTTGTTTCCCACGGTATATTTTAAGAACAGCTATACAAACCCAAAGACTAGGCCAAAGAATGTGCTTAGTTACGTCATTTATTCTCGGTGATAAAGTGGGTGTACATGTCGTAAATACGCTTGGAAACACTCAATATCAGAATCCTAGAGGTAAGTGCTGAGTAGTGCTAATAACTCAACTGTATAATTCCTGGTGGATTTACCTTCAGTTGTAACGAACGGATTACATGTATTAAAAGCTGTGAGCATTTTATATTTCCAATCTTCATGGAAAATATTTTTTTACATGATGTAATTTCTTTATCTTTTTTATACTTCATTACGTTCTGACAAGCATGTTCTGACATTTCTTTCATTTGTCCTTTCTTGACAGGTAGACGTCATCCTGCTGTTGACTGCCCGTTGCAATTTGTATGCGTGATAATTCAACTTTGTGTGTATGTTATATATCTGTTACCTCTAACTCTGTTTAACTCTGATATATGCATGTTTAGTGCCCAGTTGACACGCGAACAGTTCCTAATATTTTTACATAGTTCTAATTGTATGTCTAGACCACGATGTCGTGTAACATATTCTCGTTTTAAGGCTGCGCTTCACAATATTCAGTTACATCACGGCCTGTCAACGTGGGAGGGTAGCCCAAAGCGACGAATCCGTAGACGTTCAACACTTACATGGGTTTTTTAACAAGACTCAACCTGCAGTGAAATGAACGAAATACTTTCAAAGCGTTGATAAGCCACCTAACTCATCATATATAAGGATGTACGGCGATTAACACGCATAAGAGTGAATGCAAATCATGTATAACACGTCAGTTTCTGACAATGGGTTTGACAGAATTCAACATGTAGTTATCATAAATATATGCTTGGGATGAAAACAATATGAAATGAAAACGATTTTTAGATAACTATTTAATCTACCTCGCAAACAGTATCCCGTGGAATACTTTGATAGTATGTATCCATTCTGAAGAGGCGTCTTTTATCTAGAAACGATGACCTAAATACAAAGTGTGATGTTACCCCAAATCCATCCATCCGTAGAGCAGAAGAAACTCCTCTAAGTCAACAAGCATCCTCCTTTCATTAGCAAACAACCCATCAACTTTGCTCAAATTGAATCCATATGTTTGTTAAAAATGAGGATGTGAACACCTGGTGTTATCCATAGTTGTAAGAAACCATTCATTTTTATCCTGTTTTGCCCGTGTCGGGGGATGGTCAAAACGTTTCGTTTTCGTGAGTTTATGTTATATATTTACTTATATCGATGACCTCAGATGTTGTTACATCGCCACCTTGTTGGATCTTCCCTTTTTTGAACAGGTTGCGTTCTGCTACGGCGAATAGATAATTTCATTCTCCTGATTTACCATTTGAGACTAGAAATAAAAGACAGCAGTTAAACCGTCTCGTCCGTTTCACATTTACATGTAGAGCTATCCAGACAGATTGAAACGGACGAACTTTATCTACATGGATGTGTGGTGAGAAGGATGACTTTCAAGCAACCAGATTTCCTGACTGTCAATATTCCAGAGCCTCGAGCTCCGGACTTTAGGGTCCACGATTTCACAATTCCGAGCATGCTCCTTCTAGGAAGATTCCAAAGATCTGGTAACGTCAGTATATTTGCGTTATTGATAAACGCATGCTTCTGATATGGTCGGAATTGTACAATTAACACTGACTATTTACGAAGATAACGGAAATGTATTTTGACAATATTATGCGTCTGAACAAACTGATCTGTGGAACCTAATTTGATTGAACAACCGCCACTCTTCAAATATAAGACATGGGACATATGATTGTGATATTAGATAATAATGCTTGTATGCTTTCGCGGGAGTAAACGCCTGTTAACCGTACGGTCAAAGTAAGCTCGACCCATCGTAACCAGTCTATACGAAAAGAACATGCCTTCAGCGTTGGTATTTCTTCTAGCCTCTAAACTAATAATCTCATAAAGAATGTTGCACAGGGCACAGTCAAACTGTAATGTGTATTTTACTCGTAACTAACACGAGAACGATACCGTCTATATTGCTAAAACTATAACCATTGCCCACAGTTCTACGATCTTCCAAAGAACCGCCAAGTGCTTCATGTGTATAACATTGTTATTACACATGCTTGTGTGATCAGTACCTGATGAAATACACCTTTCTGTCCATAAAATACAGTAATATTAAAAACATAATGTTTCCATCGGAAACATACATTTCTGTAGATTAATTATTACAATACTGCTTTTTACTGTTAAAGTCAAAATTGATTCTGTGGAAGTAACTTTCTTACATCATGGAAAAAAAAGTTCTGCTCCAGCTTTTCCATTTTTCAGAATTTTTCAGGTTGGATCGATGTGTCTCTTTCAAGTGATAAAATACCTTTAGTAATTAAACCTTTATCAGTTCAAAGGGAAAAAAAGTCAGCTTTGGTGCCACCAGTGTTTACAAGCTTCGTCGTTCATGGGAAGTGATCGATCTCTCTACGTTACCAATTTACTCAGCTACAGAAGACGGCTGTGTGTGGATATCTGATAGACTCGGGATATCGAGAGGATTCTTTTGTTCTCTGTTTGCTATTTCTCTACAGTAATTAGTCATACAGCTTACCCATGTAGGCGTCTGTTATAGTAATACGAACAGCAAATGGTACTGTATTGAAAATTTAACGGTGATATATAGAGTCTTAAGCTGAAACAAAGCTCGATAAAACGTATGTGCAGTGACCCTCTCAGCAGGCGTAAACATTCGTGTTTTCGTAGTGACACAACGTGAGTGTTATTAACGATAAGTAGAAGCATCCGATTCATCAATGCCTGACCTGCCTCTCTGTTCAGATATACCATCTTGTTTGCATGTCATCTTGTCTTCGTTGAGCATTATCATTGGTGTATAATTGGTGAAGTTCATCATAGTAGGTTGGATTGGGGTGATAGCGACAGTAACGGGTTATTTCACCCCAAACACCTTCACCCCAGCAGTTTCACCCCAGGCTATTTCCCCCGGGTTGTTTAATCCCATACAGTTACACCCCGTTTAGAGGTTGTGTCAACCCAGCAAATAATAATTATTATTATAATCAACAATAAATTGCTTCAATATTTTATTCATCTATGTATAGTGTCGAAACAGCATATTCAGATTGTTTGAATAATTGTATCAGTTCATATTGGATGTACTAACATGGATGCAACATTCTTATCAAACAGTTGTGATAACTAAGTATTATCTGTACCACATATTCTGTGTTGATGGCGATGAGAAGTTTCACACTGCAGTCCATCTTGACGTGGTCCTACTCTCTACTTGCAGCTGAGGCAGATCCCCAAACATGGAGTCGCTAAGGCAGAATGCAAGTTTAGTGTCCATCTCAATTTTGACTTATTTAAATGTTCATGTTTTAAGCATGATGGGATGTGATTAGATGAGATATAAGCTTAAGTCCTGTGTGTAATCTCACCACAAACACAGTAGCATGATTGTTGTAAACATATTGCCTTATGAAGTTTAACAGATTTAAGCATTAGTACCATTCTCCATGTATACTCAATTAATTGGGTGAAACAACCCCTAATGTGGGATGAATTGACCTAGTTTGGAATTGGAATGAAACAACCTGGGTGAAACTACTTGGGGTGAAACGACCTGGGTGAAACTACTTAGGGTGAAACAACCTGGGTGAAACTACTTGGGGTGAAACGACCTGGGTGAAACTACTGGGGTGAAACGACCTGGGTGAAACTACTTGGGTCGAAACGACCTGGGTGAAGCTACTTGGGGTGAAACGACCTGGGTGAAACTACTTGGGTCGAAACGACCTGGGTGAAACTACTTGAGGTGAAACAACCTGGGTGAAACTACTGGGGTGAAACGACCTGGGTGAAACTACTTGGGCCGAAACGACCTGGGTGAAGCTACTTGGGGTGAAACGACCTGGATGAAACTACTTGGGTCGAAACGACCTCGGTGAAACTACTTTGGGTTAAACGACCTGGGTTAAACTACGTGGGGTGAAACGACCTGGGTGAAACTACTGGGGTGAAACGACCTGGGTGAACTACTTGAGGTGAAACGACCCGGAACCGATAGCGACGCACAGAAGTTAGCACTGCATGTCATGAAACAATCGTCAATATATGTTATGAGTACATCAAGTTAAATGTGGACAGACTATGCATGCCCATCGGTTGCGATTACGAATCTCATTCCAGAATTTGTTGTTAACGACTTAGGCAATAACTGAGACATTATCTACTAGTGGTCAAAGGGTTCGCTCGTCAAAGTGTGAAACAAAGTGTGAAACCCATTTCTGGTGTCCCGGGTTTTCCCCCGTCGTCATATTGCTGGAATATAGCTAAACTCATTAAATATCTACATAATACAGTTTTACTTTGAAAGACGAAATGCAACTTACTCTAAATGTCAGTGGCCTGTTTGATTGGCATTTTAGAAGTTGATGAGTAATAAGAAAGGTACGATACCTTATGGATGACAACATATTCATTATAATAATAATAATTATTATGATGCGACGTTTCGGTATAGTTTCTTATACCATTGTCAAGCAAGGGTGAAGTACTTCAGCACAGAACAGATTTATATACATCGCACAGGGATTAAGTAAGACAACATGAAGGTGTGCATCAGATGGATTAACTACAACAAAATGGATATTGGTAATTATCTAGTAACAATGTTCAAGAAGTGAAACGAAATATCCATATCTGATAGGATTAATTATACATATCTGATAGGATTAATTAGCCATGATGGCTTGACTATCTGCTCTGTTGTTCGTCAACATTGATAAGACTTTAAATTCGCGGTGAGCCAAGACCAATAATTTTTGTCGATAACCATCAATGTAACTGTCGCCATAAATGACGTACTATGTTTCATGATCATGTTTTCGTTCGCTCTGTGATCTAATAAATAGAACATCTACAATGGAAATATGATTGGTGCTTCCATTCTTGACACCTAGCGCAACCTAGCACAATCCAAAAACATGCACGTCCATGCTCATCACTATATAATTGCTTTTCACCTGAACTCTAAGGGTTACATCCCGAATAACCTGACCATAATGCAGGTTTACAGAACACCCGGTGTTTTCCAGTGTCATTTCAGGAAGTCAATTACTACAAATGGGAAATGACGGATATGTGTTCTCAGGGAATGACGTATATCTGAGTGACAAATGTTTGTCTCGGTGTGTTCAGGACGCCTACGTGCACGTCTCGCCGCAACCCTGATTGTAACAGCTATGACAGGTGACACCAGAAATGAACTTTGTCTCACATGGAGTTTCTCAAGTACTGGCTGTGACAGACTTTGTGTAAAATAGAAACTGACAATAGACATTGAAGACGCCCTGGGTATTGTTTTGATGAGCATCGGCTTAAAACAAATATAATGTAGCGAATCTTCTACAATTTTCGTATACACAGTGATATTGCTAACATCGGCTTCACGGGTTCCTGATCGTGTTCGTGAGCGCTTTTGGGGTGACTTACCAAGGGATTTCTTGAGGGACCTTTTTAGAAAATATTTGAGTGGCTTTCTGGAGCTCTTGAGGTAGTTCAGTTTTGAGTGAGTTCTGGAGTGGATCGGTGAGTGAGATCTCTGCTTAGAAATTATTGCCCTCATATCAGTGGTTGTGCACTTAATGGGGATACAAATGTCAGGCGTTGATAATTTTGGTAAATTATACAAAACCGAGTACTGCACTGACAATCTTAAGAGGTGGCTAACGGGATCGGGTGGTCAGGCTCCCTGACGTGGTTGACACATAACATCATATCTCGATTGCATAGATCGATACTCATGTAGTTGATCAATGGATCGTCTGAACCAAAATCGATTATTGACAACTGGACTATTGCTGACAAATAAACAAACGTTCTGATAGACCAGTACGATACTGAGACAAATCAGCGTAAATGTAGGAGTGTATTGTCTTTGACTGCTATGTGGAAATGGCCTTGGAATCCCATAATACCGGAGACCTCGCTAACATTAACCCTCATTAACCTGAAGAGCTTTGTGGGTAATCACTCAATCCTGCTGTTCTAGTGTGGCAGGTAAGAATTGAGCTGCCACTTTGTTTTCACCCTCCACCAAGCCGTACGACAGTTACCCGTGGAGATCCGGGTTAGAATTGTCTTCAGTAACCAATGCTTGTCGTAAGAGGCGACTAACGGGATCGGGTGGTCAAGCTCGCTGACTTGCTTAACTCATGTCATAGTATTCCAATTCCGTAGATCGATGCTCATACTGTTGGTAACTGAATTCTTTGGTCCAGACTCGATTAGTTACAGACAACCATCATATAGCTGGAATATTGCTGGATGCGACGAAAACCTAAACTCACTCACTCACCCTCCGACAGTTGGATAGTGTAGATCACTCGGGCGTACGCATGTGACTCAACCCGGTAAACAGAAGGGAACAGGACAGATGTTAAAAAATGAACAATCCCCATATATGCAATTAGTATAGATCTTTCGTCATTTCATAAATGTTCTAAATTTCAGTAAATGACCATTCTGCTCTCAGTTTCAAATAAAGGTGATCACCATCAAAATTCATATGTGCATAACGTGTGAAACCCATTTCTGGTGTCCCCCGCCGTTATATTATTAGAATAACAAAGAATATATTAGGATATAAATAAATTTATTTCAATTGCCTTTATTTCCTGGAAGCTCAATGTAAACGTAATGACGTATAATGAATGACTCACTTACCATACTTGTCAAGTGTACATATACATATTAAACAATGTTTACCAAACTGACATCTACACCTAACTTATGTAAGGTGTCAGACTTTGATGACACATTGCGTAGGATTACGGGAAGTGTTGCCTCACTTTTACCCGCTGAAGCAGTTATATATGAATGTTCTAAAGTTTTGGAAGATCTCACCTTTCGAGTTAAATACATGTATCTAAATATTTATGCGCTTTGATGAATATCAAATGTATCAAGAGACGTGTCAATCTGTTCCTGTCCTTCAACTGAACGCAACGTTTGATGCTTGACAAGTCATCGCGTCTATATTCACCAGCGAGACTTCATTACCAGCTCGTATGACATGTGTCGTCGCCTTCCTCTTCATGGTTTCTTCATTCGCTCAAAAATGGTGCGCGAACTCTGGCCTTTTCTCCACCAGTTTGCCGCGTCGTACATTTCGAAGCAATATTAATGCGATAAAGCCAAATCACAAGTGTCATAATCTAATATATCTTTATATGTATCTGCAAGATTTCTTTACGGAAGCCAAATCACTGTCTCATGTCTGCGGGCGAATAATAAAGCCGAATATAACTCGACATTTTTACGCAGCCTGATGATTATTTTATTGAATTGTTATATAGATGTGACATTTGAAGGCAACATGGATTTAATATATATTTTGTTAATGTAATTGCATGGGAATATGGACGTAGGTCAATCGGGCAAAGGTGGTGTTCATGGCGACACAATGCGTTGTGCAGAGTTGCGTTCCTTGGTGCGCTCAGTATCTCTCACACCCCTGAGGTTCCGGGTTAGAATTGATCTTCAGTAACCCGGGCCATGCTTGAGGATAGATAGATAGATCCGTTCGCTGCTGTACAAGTATTTCGACGCGTAATATTACCCTCTGCACTATATGGTTGTAATACCTGGGGTCAATTATCACCAAAAGAATATGAAATGCTGGAAATACCCCAAAGATATTTCAGCAAAAAAGTTCAAGGTCTACCCAAGCAAACCCAAAATGAAGTTGTGCTGGACAGCTTAAAGCTTATCAGTATACAATCCCATATTGACTCTCAATCTCTGCTTTTTATGGGTAAACTTTGTAGAGTAAGTTGCTGCTACTATTTTAAACATGTGTTTATTGGCAGACTCGCGCAATTCAAATGTGAGTCTACGAGCGCAAAAAGATGTTTTTATTCACCATGCTTTAATATGTTCAGACTGGTTGAAAAGTACAATCTTTTCAATGACTTTGCTGAATATGTTGTTAATGGCAATGTACTCAATAAATCCAAGTAGACTGGTACTGTGTTGGAGAAAGTGCACTGCATGGATATGTCCCTCCTTACCAGCCGTATGATGAGACGAATGGACCTATCAAGATATGTCTCTATCAGATCTGTTGAACATCATAAACTGTGGCTGTTATGTCAACTTTATCCATGTAAATTTAAACAACCGTCGCGTATTGTCTCACTTGCATCAAGAAGACTTCAATCAAAAGATCACTGGATTATTTACAGACCGCCTTCATATAGCTGGAATATTGTTGTGTGTGGCGTTTAACAACAAACCAACCAGGCAATCGGAAAAGAACCTGGTTGTGACCTCCCCTTTCCTCTACACGGTCCGTAGACAACAGACTTAACGAAATTTCAGGGCAATGGTCAGCTCCTACTACCCAAAATTTAAACTTGAAAGTTTGGCTAAGAACACTAAATTCACATTCAGGCATGTCCGTGATCTGATACCGCCACTTGCCACTGATCTACACATCTGAATCAACCTTAAACCGCCAGTTACAACCTTTCAGCGGGTTGCTCAGCTTCCCATATTATGTTCAAAACATTCCATTCTTCAGCCACATACAGTTATAGATAACTGATCATGTGGCCTTCAGACTCCCACTCTAGGGTCCAAATCAGGATAGCAATATGAAATCTTCTAAATACATACTATTTTTGTGGTACATAATGTCTTTTTGCGTTGGTGAGATCATATGCGATGAATTTCTTTAGGGAAAATAAACAGTTTTGGAATATATATACAAGCATTGAAATTCCTGACATCATGTTTCTGAATATAACAATAAAGTTTTCTTATCAGACAGGTGCTTGTGTTTTGCTTACACGAAGACAGTAATTGACCCCCACTTGAGCAAACCTTTGACCCCTACGGTGTCTCAAATTTGACAGGCCTTACGTTCCTCCCCAGTGTACGAAAAGGTGGATTAACCCCTGTCCAAACAGGAAACTGTTTGAGAAATCATTGACATCTTATTTCAAAGAATTCCCAGAGAAAGATTTTGTAAATACGTAAGCTGACAATGAAACACTTTAACCTTTTAATATACGTGACATTACTCAGATCACTGACTGCAATTTGCCAGATGTTTAAACATTTGCCAATGCTATGTCGTAACGTTGAGAAACGAATATACTGACAGTGTTATACAGTGTTGCCCATTTCCCGTAGCTGCATATATATCTAATTAACGATCCTGCCGTGTCAAAGTATGATGGTGAATCTCAACAGCCGCCACAGAAAATGTGACGATAGAACCGTAAGCGACATCCGGGAACCGCTGCTCGCATGTATTATTCATATCCAGTTCGCGGCTACTTACAAGATGCTTTTATTCAGCCTAAACGTGGAATAGTGCTACATTAAATGCAACGCCATAAACGAGCAAAAGCACATATACGCTAATGCCTTTCTCATTTAGCTATCGATGGACCAGTGTGAACACCAACATACGTTGCATGAAATGGTCGCTGATTACCCCTGAAGGACACGATGACATCAGCTGTTACAAATTTTATGTCGGGATTTTTTTGACAAATTCAAGAGAAAACTTCAAACATTTTTCTGTTGGACTTTTGTTTCAAAGGATGGTGACCATAGATGAAAATGCATATCTATCTTCAAATATCACCTGTTGTTTACTGGAAAATAATGAAATATAATAACTAGTTTTAACCAGAGAAAATTGTGTTTTTCGCGAGACAGTTACTATCCCCCGACACTAAGTGGGAGGGGATATAGGTTTGAGCTTCGTATTTCAACCATATCGTGACTGAAAGTGGTCGTACTTAAATAATATATAACGTTATAAAATTTGTCGCTAAAGGACAGTAAAACAACTAGAATGTTACAGTTAGAGATTAAAAGCTACAGTGTAACTTAAAATTATGTACTGTTTAGGACATTAAAACATATAAGTTTGGCTATGAATTACCAGCAACTGAAGGAATGGAATTTACTGTACTCTTGCTACCTTCATTGACCCTCGCTGGATTACAAAATCCCTTCAACTGCTGGCGATTGTCTCGAGTTCATCCGTCACTTAAAAGAACAAATATACTGCTGCTTGAGATCTCAACGCCACACGATCAGCTAAGAACTGAGGCTAAGTTTGTGTTCTTTACAAATAATTGTCATATCCTGACTATACAAAGTGTTTAGTTGTAAAAGATAACTAACGGGATCGGGTGGTCAGGCTCTCTGACTTGGTTGACACATGTCATCGTACCTAATTGTATAGATCGATGCTCATGATGTTGATCACTGGACTGTCTCGACCGTTTCGATAATTTAGTACCGCCAAATTGCTGGAACACTGCTGCGTGCTGTCTTAAACAACAAACAAACATAGGGTCTATAAAAATAGTCCATTTGGCTCAAAAGCGGACCGATGAATTGCAATCTAACTCGAAAACTAATAAACATAAAATACTCAATGAAACGCTGATCATAATCAAAACATCATACCCACTCTGTGAGGTTTTTGCAGAATTTTTGTCCTAAAAATAATAAAGTTGTTTAAAAAACTATAATTAAAATATTGACACAGTTCACTGTTTGTTACGAGGGAGGAGTGCAGAGAAAGGGACAGCCAGGTGTTCGAGAACGGATGGAGACGGCACAGCACAGGTTAATGAATAAATAACTTTGTCTGTGAACGTGCTTCTCGAACACCTGGCTGTCCCTTTCTCCTTTGTTCTGCAGGTTCGCCAGGAATCTCCTTTATTTTGAATTTTTCTCGTATGATTTTAGTATCATTGTCCAACCACTGTATGAGTATATCAGCATAATTGTTGTTCCTGAGGCCTTGCCAGAATAGTTTTCTTCTTTGCGTAAGTCGCCCATTCCATGCTTGTTGTATGGAATTCTTAATAGCTATTAGCGGTTCCTTGCACGATTGAGATGTACACGGAGTCTCTTTTTGCATCACAGATGTAACAGGTGAGGAATCGGTGATAACAATTGTCTCCAGTTTTCCGTTAATACTGGTTACTGTTTCACACAAAACATTTTTCAAGGTATCAAAGTTGCTATTAATGGTATTCAACAATTTACCTTCAGAGTGTTGTTTTTCAAGGAGAAGATCCGTAATTCCATCCAGTTTTTCTGATATGTGAGTTAATAGTCCACACATGCTATTGAACAAAGTCAAAGCTTGTTCTTCAAATAATTTGTCCCCTGAATGAACTTAGGACGTTTTTACTATTACGGGAATATCCAAAATCTCTTGTTGAAGACGGAATATATAAAGCTTTACAGCTTAATAGAGAAGATCTTTTGACAGGAACGATGAAACAAACCAATGAGGAAAAAGTAATTGCTTTTGTATCAAAACCCAAATGTGTTCCAGAACATAAAAACAAATATGTGCATCTTAGAACAAGATGAAAAACTGAAATCAATGCTGAAATCTAGAAAAATAATAAATAGCAAAAGACAAAATTAGAATCTTAAAAAGATACTAACAAAAGCCAAATTTATTTTCAAGAAACAGAATTTATCAAATCCTACTGTGTCTAGATGCAACAGAGGTAACTGTGGAACGTGTCGACATATTGTTGAAGGACACTCTGTAACTTTCAGGACACTCTGTAACTTTCACGAGACACGGAGAATTCTATGTAAAACAGAATTTTGACTGCTATTGCAAAAACATAATATATGTCATAACATGCACAGGCTGTAATTAACAATATATTGGTCAATCAGAAAATTTAAGAGCCCGGGTTCGTGTCCACAAACAACAAATAAAGTGTCCTGAAACCCGATGTATCCCACTGAGTGAACATCTAGATGTCTGTGCGAAAGGAAACGATGTTAAATTGACAATATTTCCTTTTATCAAGTTCAAAATTCGGACAAAGTAAAACGAATTTTAAAAGAACAATACTTCATAGTACAATCTCCCTGAAGAGTAAAGAACGAAACATGTTGGAGAAAAAGGCATTCTGTTTTTATTTATCTATGCAATATATATATATATATATACATATATATATACTGAACATCACTGAAAACGCACCACCTGTATTAGTTTGGATTTCCAAGAGCATAAATGAGCAATCGGTGTAAATTTTTCATACTTTTGTAGTCCAATGATTGGTAAAAAGAAGAAACAAGAACCAATCCAGCAAAACAGTGAAGTTTTAATTCAGCTGACCATGAAAGAGAGATGGAGTCAAAGTGGAAAGTCAGTAACGTGTATGACCACCGTAAGCAGCAACACAAGCTGTGCAACGTCTCCTCATTGAACTGATAAGTCTCTGAATAATGTTTTGAGGCCGTGCATTCCACTCTTGTTGCAAGACTTCTCAAGTTCCCCAAGGTTTTGATCTGTGGGCGACGTGAGAGGCGTTGGCCGATGTAATCCCACAAGTGTTCAATGGGAGACAAATCTGTTGACAATGCAGGCCATGGAAGTAGAGGAATGTTGTTGTTTGCCAGAAACTGTGTTGCAACATGTGTAGTGTGCGCTCGAGCATTGTCCTGCTGGAACGTGTGCAGATCTTGATGTTGGTTAAAGAAGGGAACGACGTTGTTCTGAAGAATTGTGTCACGGTAGTAAAGGGCCTTCACTCTGCCACGACAAATTACAGCGGTTTTGTGATGATAACGGATCCCTTCCCACACCATAATGCTGTCTCCACCCCACCGATATGTTTGCACAACACAGTCCTGATGGTAACGTTTTCCCCGTCGACGCCATACCCGTAGACGCCCGTCAGCATTTCGCAAGTGGAAACGTGACTCGTCGGAGAACACAACACCATGCCAACGTCGTAACAACCACAAACGATGCTGTTCAGCCCATCGTCGGCGTTCACGGCGATATCTATCAGTCAGGATGGGTCCAACATGAGGGCGTCGACACCGTAATCCTGCCGCAGGGAGACGTCGTCGGACGGTGGAAGCACTGATCAAACCACGTCGGCCTTGGACAGCGTTGGCGGTTCTGACAACCGGCAACGTACGATCCCGAATATGGCGGCGAACAATGTCTCGATCTTGGCTAGGGGTGGTAACACGTGCCTGGCCAGGACCTTGGCGGTCCCTGGTGGTTCCTGTTTGTTGGTACCTGTTGGCAAGTCTTATGATGGTGGAATGATGGCAATAATCCTGCTTGATGTGCCACCCTGCAACATGCCCAACGCCCGTTCTCGTTCCTCTGGTGACAATCTTGGCATTGCAAAAGAAACTTTACTTGCGGAGGTACAGCTAAAATGAGAAAGGTTTTTTGCCGACGGTCATTTATACCCCTAATCAGCATGTTTTACGCATGCATTTTGTGCTTTTCGTGTGTGTTGTGCATGAATTTTGTTGTTGTCATGTGATGTGTTGTTCCATGATTTGTTCGGGCAATCCGTTCTTTACTGTACAGCATTATTTATTGACTTTTGTGTTATTAACGTTATTTCCAACGTTCATTTTCTCTCTCAAAACAATCCTATTACCATATTTCAAAATTTACAGGTGGTGCGTTTTCAATTATGTTCAGTATATCTATAGCTGTCAACACGTCTTGGCTTTCAGCTTGCGTCGACAGATCACGTGACCGAAATGTGCACGTTATATACATGTATGGGAATTCTCCTTTCGAAACTAGGTCAAATGACATGCACAAGGGGAATACATTACTCGAGACGCTAATATCGTCTAACATATGCTATCTTTGGGAATACAGGTTCTTAGTAAAGTACAGATTCAAATACTTTTGTTGGGTTGCGTCCCATCCGGGATGTGGAAGTCGCAGTGGCTAAGCGGATTAGGCTGCTGACTTTGTGTGCTGGCGATTAGGTGCCTGACTCTGAGGGTGTGGGTTCGAATCCCGGAAGGGACGCAACCCAACAAAAGTACTAGAATCTGTACTTTACTAAGAAAGTGTAATCCCAAATATACTATCCCCAAAAAGAAACGCATAAGCCAGAAGTCTGTTGCGAAAATGTTGTATTTTCAAACATGTATAACTCATCCACATATAGACTTTAGTACATGAATGTTTACACCAGTTTAGAAGAAGGTAATGTATATACAACCAAGTGGATACATTTAGATTACGGAGACGTTGAGCGCGATGGTGACGACGTAGCATGGTCCCGACGTCGGGTCTCCTGGCTCTTAGACCAATATCTTTCAACCTGTTGCGTACAGTTTGACCGGATATCCTCCGAAGTTCAGGAACCGTGGCTGCTGTGCTCTCACCCGTGGCAGTACGCTCATGCAAATGTAGTACCCGGATGTACCGATCTTCGGCTGCAGTGGTGACTCGAGGTCTGCTTGTACGGGGACGGTCATTTGTTATACCTGTTTGGTTGTAACGAGCTGCAAGCCGTGATATCGTGCTCAGACTAACATTCAGACGCCTGGCAACAGAAGATTGGTCATCTCCAGCGTGCATTCTTTCAATGGCGATGTTCCGTGTCGCAGAGTCAAGACCTGACGTAGTGATTTGACCTTGAAACTCCTTGAAAACGAATACCAATTTCCGAAAGTAATCTGGATTTTTATTGCCAGACAGTGCATGCTCTTTGCTGCACAATTTCAACTGGAAGGTGATTTCTGTTGCGTTGTGGCGATGCCTTTTTGATCCTTGTAAGCAATCTCATCAAAATCAACATTTTCAGGTAAAGTCGATTTTTACTTGTACAATTGTGTAAAATCATGTTTATCAACACTGTTGGTACATATTTTGACGATTGTTGAACAC